CCTGCTTTTCATTGGGGAATGTTGCATCTCCTGCCTATCTTTTGCTTTCATAGGGAGTATTTCGTGTGCAAGTTTTGTACTAATCCCTCTAGGATTTTCCAAGTGTATATTATCATGCATCTCTCGCCTGCGTTCCAGGGAATGCAAATCAAGGGACTTCAACCGTTCCAGTACTTTAGGTGCCTTTTGTTCTTATGTGTGCCGTGAAAGTTTTGTACACTCTCCAGGTCAGCAATTTCGCTTGCCTTGAAGGGGCAGTTAGTGTAAAAGCAGTATTCCAACCTAGAGAGAACAAGCGATTTGAAGAGAATCATCCTGGCTTGGCATCCCTAGTTTGAAGTTCTCATTATCCATCCTATCATTTTCGTAGCAGATGCGGTAATACATTGTTGTGGTCTTTGAAGGGGAGATCCTCTGATATTATCACTCTCAGGTCTTTCACATTACTTTTTTCGCTCTACTGTATGGTTAGAATTTGTTGTATACGCTGATGGTTTTTAATTTCCTTAAGTTTTCCATATATGACTAGTTGAAATTCTCTTCATTGAACTTCATATTGTTTTGAGTGGCCCATTTGAAGATTTGGTTGATTGTCCGCTTGGAGTCTTCGATGGAGGTCACTGTCATGGCAATTAGGGTGTCGTCCGCAAGGATATGAGGAGGAATAGGATGGGAGCGAGTACTGTGCCTTGTGGAACAGAGCTTTTCAATGTAGTTGCCTCAAACTTTACTCCTGTTTACTATTACTCTTTGTGTTCTATTTGTCAGGAAGTTATAGATCCATCTACCAACTTTTCCTGTTATTCCTTCATCACTCATTTTGTGCCCTATTATACCATGGTCACACTTGTCGAACGCTTTTGCAAACTCTGTGTATACTACATCTGCATTTTGCATATCCTCTACAGCATCCAGGACCTTGTCATAGTGGTCCAGTAGCTGGGACAGGCAGGAGCGACCTGCTCTAAACCCGTGTTGCCCTGGGTTGTGTAATTGATGGGTATCTAGGTGGTTGGCGATCTTGCTTCTTAGAACCCTTTCAAAGATTTTTATGATATGGGATGTTAGTGCTATCGGTCTGTAGTTCTTTGCAATTGCTTTACTGCCACCTTTGTAGAGTGGAGCTGTCTGTTGTTTAGTGAGTGTAGTATGACCCCTGTGTCTATGCTCCCTCTCCATAGAATGCCGAGGGCATGTGACGGACTTCTTGCAGTTCTTTATGAACACGGAGTTCCACGAGTCTGGGCTTGGGGCAGTGCATGGGAATGTCATTTATTGCCTTTTCAAAGTCTTATGGTGTTAGGATATCAGATTTTTTAGATGACCAGATTTTTGGTCTCTTTCATAAAGAATTCATTTGGATTATTGACCCTTAGTCTGGGTGGCGGCTCACTGAACACTGATCATATTGGGATTTAGTATCTCACTCATTTCTTGGCTGTCATTTGTGTGTCCCATCTCGCACTTGCCTAAAATAAATCCTGAAAACATTTGGAATCTTTCAGAAATAGGTTACTCTGTATCTCAAACATTGCTCACTCTGCTACTCTGTAATCTATCCTTACCTCGCTGATTAATACATGTGCAAATCACCTAAACTCAACGTAACTCGTGAAAAATGTGAAGAACCCGACAGCACTCGTTCCCACTATACGAAAGTTTTAATAAACTTTATAAACAAAACCACAACACGTATTACTGTACACACTAGATTAACCCAGCACTATTACTCTTCCTGAAGAGCTGCAGTGGAACGAAATAAACGCTACAAGAAACAAAACACTGATATCCTATGTAATCCCCTATTTGTGGCTGTAGGGGTCGAGTCACAGCTCCTGTGTTCGACTTGAGCTGCAGATAGTCTCTTAAGTGGATGGACTACAACACATCCTGTTATTAACTCTCGTGAACGTTGTGGCTTTTTCACGTGAGGTATGTAACAAATTGTTGTTAGGTTATATTATGTTGTCTTTTATTAAAATAACCAGCATTACGTAAAATATAAATAAAAGATAAAAGCAAAGAAAAGCTGTGCCCTGCGGGCGCGCAATGGACACCAAACCATACCACGGGCGGGATATAGAACCCGCATCAGTCATAAAACTCCAGACCGACACGCTAGCCACTGGGCCAGCTGGCTACAAGATTTGTCCAGCTAGGTATATTTATACACTATAAGAAGGTACATAGGCACCATTCATTTGTGCACAGTGTGCCTATGCTCACCTTTCCCTTTGGGGTATAAAAATACCTATTGGACGAATCATTTAGCCACTACCCAGTGGTACGGGGTCGGTTGGGGTTTTTGACCTTTAATTTTTA